TAGAAATATGCCGAGGCTCTTGAATCTAACAAAGCAAAGGCTTTGTAATATTTAGGTCCTAAAATAAAATTTAATGTAAAACAAGGAGAGGGCTCTGAGGAGAGAATATGACCTTTACTAGATGTTGTGCAAGGTTCCAGATGCATAGTCCCTATTCTCACTAGACAAACTCGTTTTCTGACATATTATCTTCTTTCACAGCCATACTCCTCATTTTGTGATTGTGTCATTTTTTTGGACAATGTTGAGCAGTGTGCTTTCGTTCTGCACAATATAAACATAATCCTTCTTGACGATGACGAGTCTTTTCTTGCTTAGTAAGAGGTTTGAAACGTACTGCATCAATTTGCATATCCTCTACTTCTGAATATATGTGTTGAAGAGGTATTGGTATTGCCATTGAATCATAGTAACGTTGAGGTCCACTTGTATGATTCTCAGATCGGAATTCAAAAAGGCGATTGTCACACTTCACAGCAAAGTCAATTGCTTGACTCAATGTTTGAGGATTAGGTAAGTTGAGCATTAATTTTTTTACCTCATATTGTAATCCATAGAGAAATTGGCTAATAAGTGCAACATCATCTCACTTGATATCAGTTGCAAGTTGTCAAAATTATGAAGCATACAACGTTATTGATCGATTGTCTTGTCATAAAATATGGATCTTATTGGTTGCAACAAGAATTGCATCATGTTTTCCATACATGGATCGAAACTCCACTTGAAAAGCCTCTAGATTATCCAATATTAGATCCCGTTGTTTAAGAAAAGATTAAAACCACGATAGTGCTGAACTTGAAAGAAGCGTACAAATAAATCTAACTTGCTATCGTGGAGTTAGATAGCTTTGGGGTTGAAGTTCAATCACAAGTTGCACTTGATTGATAAATCCTTGAAACTTGGATCTGATGCCATCAAACTTCTCGAATATGGCAATTCTTAGTTCTCTAACATTGAAAGGTCATTCCAACAGAGGAGAAGGGATATGATTTGGTGCATATGTTGAAGCAGCTCCAATAATTTCTATATCTTCACTTCCTATCAATCTTGTTGCTCCTTGTGGTGGTAAATTGAATTGATGCATTGCAAGCATTAACTCCCTCAATTGTTCTTAGATTTCTGCCATTGCACTCTTCATTTCAGCAAGTTCTGCCATGATAACACTTAGAAAAGAGAAGATGTCTAATATCGCTCAAGACAAATAGAAGAGAGGACTTGAGAACAAAGAAAATACAAAGGACAATATCAGTTTAGAAGAGGGTAATCCACAACTTCTGATATGCTTATATCTTATCAAGAAAAAGGGGTAATCCAGTCTTAATTAAGATTAGACAAAGCTCTGATATTGTAGGTGTACTCTTGTCAATCTGTCAAGGACAAGAACTCGATGAAAAAGCAATTCAGACAAGTGAGCCCTCACTCAAAGAAATATAACAAAATATAAATAAATAAGTATGTATATTGAAAGAGAAACTGGAATGGCTTTTGCCAGAAGACAAGAAAACTAGAGACCCTTGAAATTAGACTAGAAGCAAGAAAGGAGTTGACAAGAGTGAAGAAGCCTTCACTCTTGTCTCTATATATACTATTTAACTAGGGACTACATGGCGAGGTTCTATAGGACCTCCAATATATGTTGACTTTGTAGGATACATGGTTTGATTTACAAGGCAAGTTTTTCTACGTGTGGATTACATAGTTAGCTTGATCTTCAACCTAACAACATGTGTGGCACATGGCCAACTTGTTGACCAGGTTTCTAATCCAAAAAGTCAATTAAAGACCCCTATGAAGTCAAAGCAGTGTCTATGAAGCTTCTAGAAAGCTTCCATATTAAATACTATAGAATTAACTTATTTTTATTTACTTTTACTTACTTCTATCTATTTGTATATGTAATTTCTAGCTTACATGAGTATGTCCGTGACATTAGCTCATTGCACTCATTGCAATCAAGAGCTTTTTACAAATGAAAGCATTAATAGTACTTCTTAAATATAACAATTATCTATGCATCTATAGAGTTAATCTTGGAAGATGGACAATTATCTATGATGTATAAAAGAGCATTGTCTGTTAGAAAGATGATGTGTGAATCTATCTTAGCCATCTCTACAATAAGTTGATTCAATTATACTTGATAAAAAAAATTATGTCATCTAGCCTTTATTATTTAAGTAATAATAAAATCCATGTGTTAAGAAAGAGAACTCAATGAATGTAAATAAATAAGTGAAACATATATAAAAAGAGATGACTAAAAAATAACATAAGAAAATATGTATATTCAAGAAGAAATTAAAATGACCATTGCTAAAGACTAAGAAACTAGAGACTCTCAAAACTAAACTAGATACAAAAAAAAAACTAACAAGAGTAAAAAAACCTTCACTCTTGCATATATATATATATATATATATATATTGATATTATCTAATTCGGAGCTACATGGTGATGTTTTATAGAATCACCAACACTTATTCAACTTACAAAGCAAGTTTCTTATATATGCTCTATATGACCAATTTGTTTCACAAGAGGCAAATATGTGCAACAGATGGCCAACTTGTTGGCTAAGTTTTCAACCTATCAATCTACTACATACATATATAAAAACAAATTTGCTTCTATGTTATCTTAAAGGATGTGACAATTTCAATGTCTTGTTTTGTAACTCGACAAATAATAGTTCTTTGCTTTATACTTAAGAATTTATTGATTCTTTATCTTGGTTTTGATAAATATTGTTAATAAAAAATATTGGCTTTGTTTGTTGCAACAAAGTCATTTATATCTATAAGCTCTCTTTTGATTAAGAATAGAAAGAACATCATTAAAACTTATTTTCTATAAGATGGATCTAAGAGATTAATTGGTGTGTGGCTTGATTAGACTTATGTATTGCTAAGTCAATCTTTTTATTAAATATTAATTATAAAATTATATACAAGTTTTTTAAAAAAGTGTTTGTTTACAATATAAAAGATAAACCTATATAAAATAATAATAATAAAATATTAATTTAATTCAAAATATTATTAAAAATACATAACAAATTCATGTTATATAATATAAAAACTTTTCTTTAATAATCTAATGTCGTAACAATGATTAATTCAAAAAATTAAGGAGTGTCACTTTACAAAAATTTTAAAAATAATCCATTATAAAATAAAAATATTATATCCAATTAAGGTTGTCATTTGTTTATTTATTGTATAATTTTATACCACAAAACATACATGTTGAAATGAAAAGAAACACTAAAAACAAATCCACAACTCTATTTTGCAACCAATTACAACTAAATTCTAAACTAAATACCAGTATGCACACACACATGGAAAAAAAACCTTAAATTAACAAAAATCTCAAACAAGCAAGCACTAAAAGAAAAGGGTCCATCATGTCATAAAACGATACTGATACACCTCCAACCATATGCAAAGAGGAATAACACAATCCACAGACGGAATTCCATGAATGAGGCAAAGAATTCCACCACAGTCCTGGAGTGAGAATGCAGGAGAATTCAAAGCCATGCCTCGAAACGCACAAATATGTGCAAATTCTCACAAACTACTCAAGAGCCCCCAGTAAAACAAAATATTTTGCTAGATCCTCACAACTACTGAATGATTTGGTGCTTCAGCCCAAAATGAGCAAAGCACAGCACCATGACCAAGACTTCGGTGCATTAGACCAAGCACAAAACAACACAGCGTCTGCTTCTTCCTCTGCTGCACAATCTTACTTTGTAACACACATAAATTCTCCCCACACAAAAAGAAGAAACACAACAAGCTTTATCACATGACGCTTTCTCTGACTTGTGCTCGCCACAACACTCAAGCACCCTCCGCACAAGAGTAAACTAACACTGACGGGCTTGTGACCAACGACGATGTCACGTAATGACCCCGCAACCTCGTGACGTGATGCGCCGAGGAGCCAGACAAAGTGGCAGACAACTCCAAGAATCTGTGGCCATGTGAAAGAGTTGAGGTTCCGGAGCGTTGTCATGCAAATTCTAGAATCAAACTGACTACCATGACTTCCCCCGTTGCTCCTGAGCTCCACATATAAACTAAGATACATGGGCGTTGTCAAGGCTACAGCCGAAATGACATGACGGCCTCTGGGCTGACAGGGAAGCGGGAGTGGACATGAGAATTTTGATGCAAGGGAAAATGTCATTTGTGACATGTTTTGCCACGCACATAACGCCGTGCAAACATTTTCGAGCATCCCGCTTCCATGGCAGGAAACCCAAAAAAGATCTGCGTGCGCAACAAGGGAGCTCGGCGCTGCACAAGCACACCGCGGTCCTGTGGCTCCGGCTAACATGAGGGCACATTCTCAGAAACAGCGGCGAGGAAGGAAACACAGATACCAGCAAAAAAAATACACAAACACAAACATACACACACACACAAATTCCAAGCAGGAACCGCTGACGAAATTTGAGGGCAGCACTCAAAACCCATTTATCCATGTTATCACCACTGTCGGACCGAATATTGGAGTCAGGAACGATCACATATTGTTTGATTTGGGTAGTAGCAATATTTTTCCTTGGTACCAGAAATTAGTGTCCAGTTACGGTTACGAAACAACAATCGAAAATCTTATCAATGCAGAACACGTGTTTATTCGATTTGTTCAGATTTTGCCAGCTTCTGTACGTGGATGAAACATTTGGTAGTTTTGCAGACTACTTTTAGTGCCTCGTACAGGTCAGGCAGTCTTTTTTATTTTGGTGAGTAGTTTATTGTTTAACGTGGAGTGTTGAGCTGTCTAGTTTGAAAGTGTAGATTTACCTAGAGCAGTTACGTATGGGCATAATCAGGTATTCTAAGATTTTCCTTCCTTTAGTAACATGTATATAACCAATCCTCTACAAGCACGCGGGTTCGTTGTCTTGGTTCGTCGTCTTCAACTCCCAACGGAGAGTTAGATTCGCTCTGATGCGATCCAAAACAATCGTAATTCATTACCACTTCCGATTTACAATCATTCTTCAGATACCTATATAAGAAGTTGTGCCTCGCGAAACGACTCCTCAATACTGCAGTTCCTCATTTCGATCAAAATGTCTTCTTATCCATTCAAAGGGTTTCAAGTGCCAGGGCGATGGCGATGGTGGTGGTCACGAGATGGTTAAGTGGGGTTTGATCGCTGCCCTCAAATTTCGTCAGCGGTTCCTGCTTGGAATTTGTGTGTGTGTGTATGTTTGTGTTTGTGTATTTTTTTTGCTGGTATCTGTGTTTCCTTCCTCGCCGCTGTTTCTGAGAATGTGCCCTCATGTTAGCCGGAGCCACAGGACCGCGGTGTGCTTGTGCAGCGCCGAGCTCCCTTGTTGCGCACGCAGATCTTTTTTGGGTTTCCTGCCATGGAAGCGGGATGCTCGAAAATGTTTGCACGGCGTTATGTGCGTGGCAAAACATGTCACAAATGACATTTTCCCTTGCATCAAAATTCTCATGTCCACTCCCGCTTCCCTGTCAGCCCAGAGGCCGTCATGTCATTTCGGCTGTAGCCTTGACAACGCCCATGTATCTTAGTTTATATGTGGAGCTCAGGAGCAACGGGGGAAGTCATGGTAGTCAGTTTGATTCTAGAATTTGCATGACAACGCTCCGGAACCTCAACTCTTTCACATGGCCACAGATTCTTGGAGTTGTCTGCCACTTTGTCTGGCTCCTCGGCGCATCACGTCACGAGGTTGCGGGGTCATTACGTGACATCGTCGTTGGTCACAAGCCCGTCAGTGTTAGTTTACTCTTGTGCGGAGGGTGCTTGAGTGTTGTGGCGAGCACAAGTCAGAGAAAGCGTCATGTGATAAAGCTTGTTGTGTTTCTTCTTTTTGTGTGGGGAGAATTTATGTGTGTTACAAAGTAAGATTGTGCAGCAGAGGAAGAAGCAGACGCTGTGTTGTTTTGTGCTTGGTCTAATGCACCGAAGTCTTGGTCATGGTGCTGTGCTTGGCTCATTTTTGGTTATCGAGAATTCGTTTTAGGTCATCTATTGATTGCAATCCCTGTTGTTACAAGCTGACTGTATGGAGATTACTCGAATTTAGTCAATTTGCTCTGAATATGTGCTGTTTTGCCATAAGAATTGCAGGCATGAATCAGGTCCGCGCATGAAGAAGTCGAGTTTTGGAAATCTCTCCAACTCGGTAGTCTCTCCGTCTCTGTCATTGACTTGTATTTTCTTCGTGGTTGCAGGATGCAGGTACGTAATTTTTCGGCAGAAACGCACTGCTGCATAAGCACGTAAGGTCCCTGCAAAGCTGCCGTCGTTCTCCACGGGCTTGTTGGCAATCACGACAAGCTGAGGGCAGTGCAGGTCGAAGCAACGCTTCGGTGGATGATTCCCTGTGCGAAAGAAGACATTCTGTGACGATGGAGTGAATGGTACTGGAACCCTAAATATGGTTGGAGGGCAGTCTCACAAAGTGGACATAGGGCTGAATTCCGAAGCAAGGGGTTGGGTAGTTCCACAGCAAAGTGGAAATTCCTTTGGAGGAACCTATGCTCAAGGGCCTTTCAAGAGGTCCTTCTCGCAATCTTCAAGAGACTCAATGAAGCTCATCTCGAACAGTGCATCAGCCACAAGTTTGGACATAAATTACAGAGACCGATATCCTCACATGGAACAGCGCGAGCAGCAGCAGAGAGGTGGAGAAGGTGCCGAAGCGGAACAGCGAAGCGCCTACAGGTCCCAACTGGGCCGCGACCGGGGATGGGGCCTAGAAGATCGTGCCGGGGTAGAGGCTAACTACGAAGAGATAGCGGGTATAAGAGGAGACATGAGCGTGAGTGAGGGATCGCAGAGTGAAGGCACTGACGAAGAGGATGACGAGGAAGACGATGATGAGGATGATGACGATGATGAAGGTGACATGGTTGAGAACGAAGTTGACGATGCCGACGATGACAAGGAAGGACAAGAATTGCCTGAGCAGGGTGGAGGGATGAGTAGTATTGGCATGGGGTTAAACTTGCCAATGATCCCAACGGCAGGCTTGGACCACTTGGGCTACATGCGACGGGAGCCGCTGAGAGTGGATGGAGGATTTCAAAGAAACATGTTGAAAGCTCCCATTGGGATGACGGGAGCGAGCAACTCGCCTTTCGGAATGTTTCATTCGACATCGGCAACAATGCCTTTCCTGAGCTCATTCTCGTCGCCCTCCAACTCAGCTCTTCAAATCGGAGCTGGAGGTCACTCTGATGTGACGCCCACTCAGAACAGAGGCGGAATGGGAGACATCGGATACGCGTCAGGCGCTTCCTATACTCTGACTGGAGATGGGGGGCTTTCGCGTGACGTTACACGAGTGGAGTTTCGGGAAACTCTGGTGGTGACACCCTTGCAAGAAGCATCCAGAACTTCCTCAGGGCCACTCCACGAACAACTTCAAACATCTGACAGCGACAACTATTACACCACGCTTTTGAATACAAAAGTACCCCCGAATAATGGGCTGAAGAGAGCAGATTCTGTGTCAGGTCGGAATAGTGATCCACAGGCAAACGCGGAGGAATCGTTGCGGCGCATCCTTTCGGACCCTCTCACGTGAGATACATCAACCTATTATCTTGCTCTGTTGTCTTTCGCCCTGCCGGGATGTGTTTTTCCACGCGACAACATTTCTGTGGTGCAACCTGGAGTTGCCTGGTTGTTGTCATTCATTGTGAAAGAAGTGTTGTCAATGATGGTCCGATGTCTTTCGATTGGTGGTCACGTTCATGAGCTCGCCTTGGCTGCTATTGCAGAGTGTTTTTTATTTTTTATTTTTTATTTTATTATTATTTTTTTTATTTTGGACTGTGGGCTTTCAAGATTTCCAGCATTGATGACGAATGTTTGAAACCGCAGAAGCAATGCTGATGGTGTTTTGGTTTATTTCAGGGGTGCACTCATGGATGATGCCATGATTATATCATGCGGCCACTCGGTAGGAAATGCTGGACGAAGAAGAGTCATGGAAACCGTAAGCTCCAATCTTTTCTTACATAGTGCTGGAAATAGTCGAGTCTCTAAGTTGTGTCGATTGTGGTGTGTGGTTGTGGAGAAGGTGGTATCGATTATGAGCGGGCATGTCAGAATGATATGTGGATGGTTCCTCTAGCTTCAGTCACCAGCTCTGTTCGAGAAAGAGATTTGGACCTGTATAGATAAATGTCGTTTTAGTTAAAACTGTGGTTGCCCTCATGTTCATATTCCATGCATGACATTCTGGTTCACATGGCAGAGCGTGTGCATCATATGCGGAGCTTCGGTGCGAACAGAAGCTATGGCTCCAAATTACGGTATGGTTTGGCATGTCGCGCCCCTTGGTCGCGGCATTTGAAAACCAGTTTTCAGTTTAGTTCTCTGATGTCTTGAAGAGCCTGCTCCGTGATGTTGTTGGACCCGGAGTATGTCAGTGCATTGAGAAATATTTTTGCATTTGGCGGGGAATAGCATTACGCGTGGTTGTGCAAGCATTCAAACGCGAGGAAGAAATGAATGGTAATATATGCCTACGATCTGCCAAGAGGAGAAGGGAGATAATTCAGGTATTTAAGTGCTCCATTTTTTGGTTCAACATCATCTGATAGTGCTGCTGTTTTTTTTCGTTACCCGAGGTGGTCTGAAGGCTGCAATGCATCTGGAGTTTTAGAGAGTAAGTTTCCTCTGGGGGATTTCTTGTTGCTCAGTAACAAGAATGTGGAATTGAGGCAGTTTTGAGTGGAAGATTTCAATTTGAGGGGTTGATTCTATGTGGAGCTTGAATGCGGCATGACTGCAGTCTTTGTTGGTTGGCAATCGTGTCTGCCCGATGTTTAGAATTATGCTTGGAATGTTGCAACCAGTTGAGTTGCTAAGGTTTGACCCGAACCCAGACGCATAGGACATCCTGGCTCCTGGATACTTGTATTAGGATCAACATTTGTGTATTTTGCAGGAGAATATAAGTCTGCCGGAACAGATTGTTGCAGATGCTACAAAAGTAAAGGGAGTACAATTCCCGTTTGTTGTGAGTGACCGAGTGATGATTAAGGTATCAACAAACCGAGGTTGCAATGACAAGTGTTTCTAGTTGTTTATTTGGCTTCTAGTCATTAGTCTTTTTTTTATCTCAAGCGACGGTTCCCATGGTTGCAGGGAAATAAACGAACACCAGAACGGTTCGTTGGTCGAGAGGCTGTTATCACAACCCAGTGTCTCAACGGCTGGTTCGGCTCAACTCTCTTGTTTGTTTGCTATTTGATTCGCCATAGTTGCCAGGTTTCGTTCTCGTCTGAGGTGGAGTCTCAGTCATTTGTTCTTGTGTGAAGGTACTTGGTTCGAACATTGGACAGTGGTGAGAGCGTCCGCCTTCAGTACAGGTCTCTCCAAAAAATGAGAGGTCAGACACCTCCAAATGCTGGTGGATACGGGCCCACCTAGTCGAAGATGGTGCATTGAGAGAAGCATATATGGGTGAGTGAAAAGCGTCAGAATCACTTTCTATGATGAGACGTGGAAACTTTTTGTCGTGCTGTTTTTATAGATGTGCGCGAGGTTAGTGGTTCTTAACTAGTAAGTAGTAGTTGATGATTTTCTGTCTACTGAAACGGGCAGGACGATGTTGCAGGATCATGGGAAGGAATTGACGCTACATTTCCAAAATGTGAACTTCAGTGCTCTGTGCTAATTTAGGAGATGTGGGACTAGAATCTGAAGTTCTAGCCATGGACATCCTTTCTTAAGTTCTGCTACAAAGTTGATTCTCGCTGGGCCGAGAAAGTGGCATCGTTACGTTACCTCTGTGGTTTTTCTCCACTGGTGCAGCTTATTCAAAGTCTTGACGTCCCCGGCCGCAGACCCAATTCTCTAAATGCAACTGCTGATATTCGAGCATGTAGTTTGACAGTCTGCAAGGGAAGTTGGAGAATTTAGAACGTAGTGCCTCATCATGGATCTGGATGTGGCCGGTAATAGGATTCAACATTAGATCCTGGAGCTGTTGTGTAGGCAGGCAGGCACATCCAGTGAAGTATTTAGGCAAAGCAATTTATGGAATGGAAACCGTTCGACAGAATGTCAATTTCAGCGGAAGAGCTAGCACTGCAAGGTGGGTGTTGAGCTCCGCTGTTGGCAAGAGGCTCAAGAGCCATTGTAAGATACTAAAGTCAGGAGGTAACCCCTCAAACGATTCGTGCTTGTGGCACAGAAATTGTTTGCTTGTAGAGACCGCATACCTAGTTTGATTGCTCACGGTCTTTTCGGAGGGCTCTTTATGGCTGACGTACCAGATCATTTAGGGTGGTAATGGATGAGTGGAAATGAACGGCGAACCCTGCACAATAATGTGAGTGCAGTTTGAAGGACCCGATCGTTAATGTTTTCTGTCTCTACTAATCGCAACAACCTTGTAATGCAATCATGGTAAGTGTGAGGCAAGATATATTTACTAGGAGCATTTCGGTGGTTTCTTCTGAGAGAACTGCGAAGAAAAAAGCTTGCTCATATTTGTCCGTTTCGAGGCATGGCTTTGTAACCTCCGGCATCCATACTCCAGGATTGTGGTTGAACTCTTTGCCTGATCCATGGAATTTCGTCAGTGGATTATGGTATTTCACTTAACGTGTCGTGAGAGGCTTACCAGTATCGGTTTGTGAGATGATGATCTCTTTTTTTGTGGTGCATGTTTAATTGATCTTTTGTTGTTTTAGGGTTTGTTTACATGAGTGCGGGTACACACTAGGATTTAGTTATGATTGGTTGCAAAATGGAATTGTAGGTTCTCCTCAATTGCTGCTTTTTTAATATATTGTGGATTCTATTCCGAATTCCTTCCATTTGTTCAGGGTAACTGAAAATTGAAAAAATTGCAATTTTTTTGTTGGTCCTGCTTGTTGCGATGGCCTGTATTAGCAATATTCACGAAGAGGACTTCGCTTCCGCTGACCATATCTTGATTGAACAATCATCAATGTGTGTCACCATCGTTAATTCTTTCTCATGTTCTTAGATCGTGTTCAGAGGCAGACGCTGAGTTATATCTTTCAATCTGTATACATAACATACCTTTGTAATTGTGTCAGTTCATCGGCGCAGATCAATTGCGAACATGGGTTTGCTGCATTGTGAAAAATGCGTCTATTTTGTCTTGGTTTGGCTGCTTCCAAGCCGTTTGCAGGCAGAGCAGGTATTTCTTTGTCTGCCACTGACAATAGTGAAGTCTTGAACATCTAGCGAATCCTGGCTCTCAACTCTTCGACCATGAAAGATAGAGTATTGAATTGCATTAACATGCCAAGGAGATGGAAAAGGACTTTGAAGTACCTTAGCACAGCAAAGCATGACCTAGGGTTTTCAGCTGTGGTCCTGAGGAGGCCAACATAGAACGTACCTAGTGACAATGAAGGTGTTGATCAAATTCCTCGTTTGTAGATCGGCATCTATGAGAAACTAGCGATGGCCACGGTGACTTAGTAATTTTTTTATGTTGACGAGAACGTACCTTTTGTAAAGTTTATAAATTAAATATTCCTTACCAATAAGATATGTCATGTACAGCTGCTGTAGTCAAGCAGGGATACTATTTAAAGACCTGTTTAAGTCAAGGCATTATCTCATTTTGATGATTACGAGTTCGCGTGTATATACATATAAATACACATATATGTGTATATGAGCTATACAATGTGAGCAATTCGTAGATATTAAGTGTTACACTCAGGTTTTTTTCCACTGTTTGGATGTAATTTGAAACTGAGTGAAAGGAGGCTGAAAGAATATACTCATACTTTTACTAATACACCGACTCTACTAGTGGCCTCAAGCTACTACAAGACTGCCAAGCATCTTGTATTGCAGCTGAACCTCGGCGTCGTAAGGTTTCGTGGTGCCGTTTGTTCAGTTGCCTCACAGCCGCCGTCATGATAAGGGTATACGTTGATCTGCACTCAAGGAGAGCACATTCACTGAGGCCATGAATCCATTCTCCAATCTCACTCACTGGAGGTGGCATATTAATGCAAACTTTGATGAGTTTGATGATGGAATCTGTCACAGGTAACCGCACCAGAGTTTTGTTTGATCATGTCAGGATGGGGATTTGTGGAGACAAGGTAAGAACAATGGAATGATGGCAGCTGGGTTAATGGGTTGGCAGCACGGCTCGCCCATTTCAGGAGCTCAGCCTGTCCTTCACAAGAGCTGAGTGCGAAGTTATGGTGAGAGAATGTGATTTGGTTTGTTGCAGGTTGTCGACAGGGGAAGGATGGCGATGGATTGGGTGCAGTAGAAACGTCATGGGCGAGTGCGATCGACAGGGGTGACACGGTTGAGCCAGAAAGCCTGCGGTAATGTTGATTGATGGTGTTGGTTACAGAGACGTGACCTTACCTCCGACGTTTGGAAAATTTGAGCATATGTATAGCCAGAAGTTACATGAAGTGCATTTCGGCTATGCCGGTAGAGGCCCTGGATTAAGAAGGAGATGAAGATGTTTAGTAATGGGCAAAAGCAGCTTGGGATAAGGGTACGCTAGGGTGGAGACTTTGGATTATGAGAGTCTAAGCACAATGCAGTTGGAGGAATTGCAATGGCGGCGGCGACGGCTGCTGCTGCTGGCTGCTGCGATGATGCTGGGATGGTGTGGTGGAACAATGGTGCCAATGAGTGATGATGTACTGGGGCTTATGGCGTTCAAAGCTGGGCTGAGTGATCCAACCGGGGCGTTGCATTCCTGGCGGCAGGATGATGCCAGCCCGTGTGCTTGGGTCGGGATTGTCTGCGATCGTCTTACGGGCAGGTTAGCTGTTGCTGTACGCCTCGCGTGTTGCCGTTCGCCATAGTTTTTCAACAGAATGTTCCTTCATAAGATAATGCAAGCTACGCACTTGGTAGTGATTGTGCTCGACATTGCAACACCTTCTCAAATGACCTTTATCCTCTTGAAGAAATAGCTCGAGAAGCTCCAAAATAAGAATGTATTCGAGTTTTCTTAGTTTCTTGTAGCCTGCTTGGGGTTTTGTGAATGCAATGAAAGTGATAGAGCTAATTCTTTTTGGTTTTTGATGAACAGGGTATCCGAGTTAAATCTTGTCGGGTTATTCCTTGCTGGTCAGATTGGGCGAGGCTTAGCGAAGCTGGATGAGCTTCAGATTTTAAACCTGTCGTCAAACAACTTTACTGGAAGCATTGACACAGAAGTCGCAGGGCTACCTATGCTGCGCAAGCTAAACGTGAGCAACAACCAGCTAAATGGAGTGATTACTCCACTGCTCACTAACAACAGCAGCCTCATGGTCCTCGACCTTTCCAGCAATGCCTTGACAGGACCCATGGCAGAGAAGTTCTTCACCACTTGTCAGAGCCTTGTGTCTCTTTACCTGGGTGGAAATCTTCTCAATGGCCCTATTCCTCCGTCCATCATCTCATGCACCCAGCTCACAGATCTGAGCTTGTCGCATAATTTATTTTCAGGAGAAATTCCGGGTGGATTTGGACAGTTAAAGAGTTTAGTAAATATCGACTTCTCTCATAATTTGCTGACCGGGACCATACCTGCTGAACTTGGAGCACTGAAAAGCCTCACAAGTTTAAGTCTGATGGACAACAAGCTGACTGGAAGTATTCCTGGACAGTTGAGCAATTGCGTAAGTATATTGGCCATGGATGTGAGCCAGAACAGCTTATCTGGGGTTTTGCCACCTGATCTTCAGAGCTTGACTTCGTTGGCCCTATTCAATGGTCGTAACAACATGATTTCCGGTGATTTCCCAACTTGGCTGGGATCCTTAAATAGGCTCCAGGTGCTAGACTTTGCCAATAACAGGTTCACAGGCGCAGTGCCGAAATCGCTTGGACAATTGCAGGTACTGCAAGTGCTGGACTTGTCTGGAAATCTTCTGTTGGGTAACATTCCAGTGGAAATCGGCACCTGTACCCGCCTTCAAAGCTTGGATCTAAGCAACAACAATCTCATAGGTTCCATACCACCGGAGCTGCTAGTCCTCAATGTGCAGTTTCTCGATTTTGCAGGCAACTCACTCACAGGAAATTTTCCGTCTGTTGGACCTGGGGCATGTCCTTTCCTTCAGTTTCTGGACATTTCTCAGAACAAGTTGGAAGGTCCGCTTTTGCCTCAGCTTGGACAGTGCTCTAATCTGGTAGCTGTGAACTTCTCAGGAAATGGTTTCTCCTCCGCTATACCAGCAGAGCTTGGAAACTTACCGTCCCTGACGTTGCTAGATCTTAGCAACAACGTACTGGATGGGAATATTCCGCCTAGCTTGGGCACCGTCACTCGTCTTACTGTGCTGGATTTGCACCACAACAGACTTGGTGGAGAGATTCCAACTCAGATTGGCAGCTGCTTAGCCCTGGCTAACTTGTAAATTTTTCTCAATTTAAGCACCTGTTTCATTGGATTACTTTTTTTTAGTTTTTTTTAGAATACTGAATGTAATGACCTTGCTGATTATACTTGTCATTTAAAGTTTACATCACGGTGAAGAGTGAGTTAGTTGAAGTACTAACTAGTGTGTTGATTCTTGCAGGAATTTGGCTGAGAACAAACTAAGTGGCCCTATTCCAGAGTCTCTGACCAATCTCACCAGCCTTGCATTTCTGGACTTGTCATCCAACAACTTGACGGGTACCATTCCCCAAGGCTTCGAGAAGATGAAGTCTTTGCAGAAGGTGAATATATCCTTCAACCACCTCACTGGTCCCATACCCACCAGCGGAGCATTTTCGAATCCAAGTGAGGTCTTAGGAAACTCAGGCTTGTGTGGCACTTTGATCGGTGTGGCATGTTCTCCGGGCGCTCCGAAGCCCATCGTGTTGAATCCAAACAGCACAGCCCTCGTTCAAGTGAAGAGAGAAATCGTGCTCAGCATCTCTGCTATAATCGCTATCTCCGCAGCAGCCGTCATCGCCGTGGGGGTGATTCTCGTCACCGTACTCAACATCCGGTCTCAGACCAGAGCGCGTCGTAACGCCAGGAGAGGGATGGAAAGTGTGTCCCAGTCACCCAGCAACAAGCATTTTTCTGAGGGAAGCCTGGTGTTTTACAAGGGACCACAGAAAATAACCAACCAAAACTGGCCAGTAGGGAGCGTGCAAGGGCTTACAAACAAGCAAGACGAAATTGGACGCGGTGGCTTCGGTACAGTCTACCGAGCTGTTCTCCCTAAAGGCAACACCGTGGCAGTGAAGAAACTACTTGTCGCAAGCCTCGTCAAAACGCAGGAGGAGTTCGAGCGGGAGGTCAATCCTTTGGGGAAAATCAGCCATCGAAACCTGGTCACACTTCAAGGCTACTACTGGACCCCCCAGCTGCAACTCCTCCTTTACGATTACGTCCCAAACGGCAACCTTTACCGCCGCTTGCACGAGAGACGAGATGTAGAGCCACCTCTCCAATGGGATGACAGGTTCAAGATCGCGCTCGGTACTGCCCTTGGCCTGGGCCACCTCCACCACGGCTGCCAACCTCAGGTCATCCACTACGACCTCAAATCGACCAACATCCTGCTCTCCCACAACAACGAGGCCCACATCTCCGACTACGGCTTAGCAAGACTACTACCAACTCTAGACAGGTATATCCTAGGCTCTAAGTTCCAGAGTGCACTGGGTTACATGGCACCGGAGTTCTCATGCCCCAGCTTGCGAATCACTGAGAAATGTGATGTCTATGGATTTGGCGTGTTACTTCTGGAGCTTGTGACGGGGCGTCGTCCAGTTGAGTATATGGAAGACGATGTGGTGATCCTGTGTGACCATGTGAGGGCGTTGCTGGAGGGGGGTCGTCCCCTTACTTGCGTTGACAGCACCATGTTGCCATATCCAGAGGATGAAGTACTCCCCGTCATCAAGCTCGCCCTCATTTGCACCTCTCATGTGCCCTCCAACCGACCAGCTATGGAGGAAGTAGTTCAGATTCTGGAGCTCATTCGGCCCATCCCCATTCTCCCAGACTCTCCCTGAGAAAAAACAGAAACTTGGACATGGTTTCAGTGAATTCATGCATCATTCACGAGGCTCCTATAAACAGGTTACTGAAATAGCAACGAATAATTTTTGGCAACCTTAGCTTACACCTCTCTATTCCAGCGTTGAGATGGGTTTTTTCAATGTAGTGACTGATCCGTCAGCGGGCGGCATAAAAGCGTCAGGATTGTTGGGGTTTTGGTGACATGGTTCGTGACAGAGTAGTCCCCAGAACGACCATTGTGTTACTTTGTGTGTGTATTTTCATCTTTTTTTCTTCATGGGAACAAATAGAATCAAATTCTACTGCAAGAGATTACTGCAAGATCTACTGTAAGTAGTGTTGTTGCTACTCTAATCAAGGGCTTGAATTAGCTGGAACTTAGTTGCTTGTTAGAGTAGTAGGAGTGTTAATGTTGTTTATATTTTATGAGTATTTCATGCCAATTTATTTGAAGATTTATATAAATTCTAAAATCTCTTTCTACATCTAATATAAATAACACAATCAGATCAAAATCAAAACTTGAAATTTTAGAATGTTTCATATTGCAAGTCAAACCACAATTACCATATTAATTATGGCTACAATATTTTTTTAGCTTTTTAATATTAATTGATCTAACAAACATGTAAAGTTCTATTTTATTTAGCATATATATACAAGGAGTTGTTAAAGCCACATCCCTCTTTCCATCTCATAATCCATTTTGTATATGTTCCTTGTCCCCAACCTTGTTTCTAGCCCCCATCCTTATCTCCCATTCTTAGCTACCATCCCCACCTCCAATTCCACCATGTCTTGACCCACTCCCGTCTTCAACAAGGAAATTATGTTTTTATTTTTGAAAAATATTTTTTTATCCTAAAAATGATATAAATAAAAAAAATTCTTTAAAATAGAGTTTTAAGAAAGTATTATTTATACTTTTAAATTAAATAAAAAAATATGATTTTAAGAAAATTATATTTAATATTTTAATTTAATTTATATAATATAAGGAAAAAAATTAATATTTTAAATCTAAATTATCTTTAAAACACTCTAAGATATTTAACAAATTCTAAAAGCATATTACATAAGATTTTAAATGATAATATACTAAATTTTATACACTTTAATATCTTGGCTCTTAAAGTATTTTAATTTAAAGAATTGAAATGAAATACCTTCTTTTTTTTACTTTTTTTTTCAATCAATATTTTTAAAAAATTACAAAAAAAATAATTTTTAAATACTAAGATATGTAATAATATTAAGAAAAAAAAAAAAAAAAAAAAAAAAAAACACATTCACTAGTTATTTAGAATTTTTTTAAATAATAATAAACTAAAATAGATTTTTTCGTATTCAAGGAGTCTTAAATATTTCATAACAAGGCAAAAATATAATAGAGAAATTAATAAAATTGAATGTAGAATTGGGGATAAGAGTGGAAACAAAGTAGAGATGGTGGTTGGAAATAGAGGACACGACAAGGGACATGTACAAAATGGATCATGAGATAGGAGGAGGGGTGTGGCTTTAACAACTCCCTATATATATATATATATATATATATACATATGTTTTTAGTTATTATAATTTCAAGATAGAGCTAATACAAAACATACTCTAATATATGTCAATATTAATAACTATTGTCTCCAATCCACCAAGAATAATATAATTTTAACTTAATTATTTTAGAATCTACCAAATGTATATACTTAGATCTTAATTTATTATTATAATTTATTATTATAATCTTATAAGCATGGTTTGTGAAGTATAAAAATCTCATAATTTATTATTATAATTTTGCTTAGATTTAAAAGAGAAGAAGGAAAATTGAAGAAAAAAGAAGAAAGAAGAGAGAGAGAGAGTAAAAGAAAGAGAGCATGTAAAAACATTAAACATATTCATAACTATTTATTTTCTATATTTAGAATTAATAGCATAAATCAAATATATTCTAAATTTATTTTAAATATTAGTGGATTTGATTTTCTATAAATTAATATTAAATTTTTAGAGTCTACAATTTATTCAATAATTGGAATTAAAATCTCTAAATGATCATACAAAAAAACACATTTTCCAAAAAAATATGTTAGCAACTGTTTAAAATCTTATTAGCCTTAAATCACAATATATATTTATAATATAGAATATGATCCATGTTATTCTTGTATAAATATTGTAAGTATTTTTAAATTACAAGTAATTAAATCAAAATATTTGTATATATTTAATGCATACAAAAATATCATATTTAAGCTCTTGTGAATGATAAATAAATAAAAATAAAAAGAATTAAATAGTACCTTCAATGTTAATCAATTCTAATCCTATTAAAGTATCAATAGTAAATTTTTATTTTTTTAGGAAAATATTAAGAATATAAATAGAATATTTTAGAATTTGGATAATATATTATTTTTTCTATTTTTAATTAATGGATATTATGAGTCATTAATTTTTTAGATTTTTTATTATTTAATATGCTGAAATTTATGCCAACCTATTTTAGATTTGTAAAAAACAAGTAACTCCACGTTTTATTCCTATATATATATATATATATATATATATATATAAAAAATTAAGTTAAGATGTATTAATTTATTTTTTAAGAATAGATAAAGAAAATATTAAGAAAGATTAAAAGCCATAGTTGAGGAAAATAACATGGTATAAATTAGATCAAGTATAATTTATTTAAAAAGTTAATTAAAAAAATTGAAGTAAAAATAAGTATTTCTTTGATCTCTAAGATACTACTTATAACAAGAACTTAATCAATTGAGTAAATTTTTTCTATTATGTTAAAGCTAATAATTCAATAAGGATTTAGTACTGATAGAAAGGCTGCAAATTAAAATATGGTTACAAATTGTTAGGAGTTGTCATGATGGACAGAATGCCTTATTATTATTTACTTATTAGCAATCATTTTTTAGAGTGAAATTTGTAGTCTGCAATATCTTCAACAGTATTTTCATTTGGTCTAGAGTTTTAAGTTAATAAAAAAAATATAAAAGAATACAAATTAAGTATATGTTCTTCTATTAGACCTTGAGGACAATGTCAATACTAAATAGACAAGAATTTGTAGTCAATGAGAATTTTTGTCTAAATATTCTTACTTTTGTATTGATAAAATTTCAATAGCTTCTGGTTTTTATATATAGATAATTACATGTAAGTATTTATATTAAAAAATCATGCATAATTACATAAAAATTTAAGAGAAGAAATTTGGCTTAAGTAGCCAATGTCAAATGAAAAGAAGGTTTTTTAATTTTGTTGTTAATCTTATTTTAAAATCTTTTCTAGACCACTTAGAGTAATTGGGTGTCATATCCACTCCTCTAGCAACTATAATTTCCACAAGCACATAATTACAAAGAATTGAAATACATTCATTATAATAAAAAGGAGAAAATAGCAAATGCATAGATTTCACTTAATGTGTCCAAGACTTCATTTGTGATTGATTTCTTGGTGCTACTAGAATTTAAAGTTTTAGTTAACTTATTTTGAAACAGTTTTATTTTTGTGGAAAATGTTTAATGAATGAACAAAATACAACTTTTAGTAGACAAAGCACATTGCAATAACTTTTGAAATGGTCACAAATATCTGATAAACACTTCAGTAAATCCAAGTAGGAGAAAAATGATCACCCCAACTGGAAAAAAGGTAATGAGATGTAATTCTTTTTAAGGTTACAGAAAACCTCAGCAACAAATACTGCTGATGAGGCGAACTCGAAACGTGCTCAAGTACATAATTGAAAAATAATATTAAAAGACAGGAATCCTGTAATGTATCGAAACCGCATCGCTTAAAATTACAAGAGATAATGGCAAACTAAAGATGTGGAAGCTGGACTAATAGGGTAATTGCACAGAACCTACCTTGCCGCTTATCCCCAGGGGCTTGCCAATCATCATTGAAACATGAAAGAGAAGTCATAAACTATGAAAAGAGGTTCATGGAGATTTTGTTGTCTACTAATTTTCATAAACTCAAAAGCAGAGAGAGAGAGAGAGAGATCTCAAGGAGCCCAGCTTTCAACAAGGAGTAACCTTCTGTAAGGTTTGCCATTGACGTCGGCCTTCACATGCCTAGAGACGCGACGCATCTGATGGAAGAGATTGAGCTCGTCATTTATGAGCCCGAAGTTTGCATCGGGATCACCAATTTGTGAGACCTTCACTCGAGAGTAGCCAAGCTTAGGCAGTAGCTCCTCTGGCCAATCACTATGAAAATAGAAGTGAGTCTTCAGCTCATGGGCTAAATGGATGGAAGACTCGTTCATGAAATCAGCCAGCACCACCGTTTCATTCTCGCAGTTTTGGGAAATGCACTTCAAAGTCTCTTTTGCACGAGCTTCTTGCAGGTAATATAAGAACCCTTCTAAGATCCAGACTGTAGGTAATTGTACCTTGAACCCTGCCGCTTTCAGTCTGCCAAACCAATCTTCTGTGGCAATATCAGAGGCCACTCTGTGCAAACTCTTTGCTTCAAGCATGGGTAAGGGCTCTCCTGCTTCCAACATTGCCTGGAGTATGGACTCTTTGAAGTGTAAGGCTTTGGCAGAGTCTACTTCAAACACGGAACAGTCTTTGAGCGATCGAAGTCGGTATGCACGAGCGTCCATTCCTACACAAGTAAATCACAATTAGAAAAGAGCCAACACCGTCTATAAAAAAATAGCCGTGACAAGGACATGCTTCTGGAATAGACAAAAACCCCTGGAAGAAACAGGCGCTGTAACTCTTCACAGGGCAGAAAACCCAAATTTAGTGAAGTGGGTAGCAGCATAATGAGGGCCTTCCATTTCCACCCTTGAACAGACATGTTTCAAAGACAGCAATATTTGAGCATGTCAATGTAACTTAAGAAAAGAACGGAAAGTATAACCAGACTTGAGAATTGTCCAGGCAAGGATCACACATTAGAGCCTTCTGGAGATTGTGATGTGACACCCCTGTCTGCAATCTATGCATTTTAATCTAATTGAGTAATCAGGACAATCTCCACCACTAGACGAACCCAGATTCCTTAAAATTTAGAAAGAATTAAAATTTCTCTAAATTCGCTTACCAGCACCCAACAAAACTACTTGGTATTCACTCGAGCTTGAATCAAACTGAGAAAGTGCTTCTGCAAGGCGGGTATCAAACCAAAGTGTCCTCACAGCCATCATTACACCAGCAGTCTCCCGTGCGTTCTTGTCCTGGTCGCGACGCACCTTCTCCTGCAGTCCTCTTAGAAACACGTCTCCAGCGAAAACTTCTGCCAAAGGATCATGGATCACGTGATTCCATAACGCTCTACCTGCAGCTGTCTGGCATGCACTCCGCTCCAGATAATCTCGTTCTGGGTCAAGGGACTTGTGCAGCCTTCTTATGGCCTTAAGCTGGCACTGACTCGTTTCCAGATTCACGCCTAACATCCTACAAAACCACGAACATGTAGACTTCTCCATACATCAACTCGTAAACAATAATGAAAACAACTGTACGAACTTTTTACAATAACTGTTAACAAAAGCGTCTACAGAGAAAGCAGAAATTTTATTCATTCCTGATCTGTTTGCATGGTTTGACCTACCCAGGCACATGGGCGGTATCATCCTCGTCACAACTCAAATCGACAACCGTAACAGATTGTTGCTGCTCCTTACTCACGTTCATGCTGACGAGGAGTTCGTGGAGTTTTAAATTACAACGCCGTGGGCAGAGTCTCGGCGACCAAGCTGATGAGGGAGAGCACGCGAGCAGCAAGATAGGCATGGGGACTCGCAAATGCCAGCATGATATGCTGCCTTCAGCCACTCCTATCTAAACACAAGAAAGTCACCCATATTGACAGTATTGAAACAAGCTGAAGTCATAATCAATCGTCAATTTGAAGTTCTAGAAGGCGAATTACGTGTAAGTAAAAGGTCTATGCTACGCCTGCTCTGTTCACAAGCCTTATCGGAGCCAGATTATGCTTCAGCACATCATAAACTTTGGTATGAATAGCCGTTAAGCATCCATTTAGGTGTCTAAATATCGAGGTCAGTGTAGTGCTCTTGACAATTGTAAATTGACCGTTGCAAAAAAAAATTCTCTTAGCAAAGTCTAATGCTTCAAAAACTTAAGTCACGGCAACGTAAGCTCCACCGTCAGAAGAGGTGATGTAACGGAGTAACTAGAGTTACTTGCACTTACATAGCATTTGGTGGAAGACTTTAATCAGTCAGACCCTGTACTAATTCTCCTCCCTGAGCGATTTCGTAAAGCTTCTATCCGAAGGGTTTCAGCCGCGCAGCATCCCGAGCACACCTAGGATTAGCAACAATTCTCGAGGTTGTTGCTAACGATAGAGCTGCATGCTGAAACATCAGCGCCCCTGCACTGGAGGAAGGAATCCGGCTTGAAAACTAGTGTGATTTGGTATGGGAGTATTAGAAAGTTTTCAAGATTTTATGACGAGCTGTAGAGGAGTTGCCTTCCTCATTAAGTCCTTTCTTCTTTCCCATTTGCCGAGGACCTGTCCGCTCCAACAAACACAGGATTATTCCAAGAAAACTATATTTACCTGCAACAGACACTTCCGCTCAGCTCTGTACTTCCTCTATTCAATGTAATGTGAATTCACTTAGAAATTCTTTTAAGCGCTAACAACCTCACAAATGTCAATCACTCTTCAGAAACTCACCAATTCCATCCCCTCTCAATCACAATCAGAATAACAACACTCAGTGCGCACGCTTAAATTCGCTTGAGCGTCAATGCAAGAGCTTGGAAACAAATGGTCACTCCATGTAAATAACTACACTACAACCAAAACCTGCGAAAATTTCATGACAACTAAACGTCTTGCACACTCGTCAAAAGAATTGAAATAAAATTCGTATTTTCCGAAAGCAAGAAAACGAAAAACAAGTCCTAATCTCCGGGAAAAGATCTAACCACTCATTTAGCAAGCTTGCGCAGTTCAGTCCAATTCTCAAGTCCGTACAGAATCGCTGCACGAATTCCAGAAGCTCCGTCGCACGCAACTCTCCTAGACATACAGAAGAATCATTCAGAGGTTCATGAGCGAAGACTTGATCGGGAGTACTCTACCTAAATTCGAAATTGCCGGGCAAAAATTCCAAGCAACCACGATGCAGTTTAGAAAGAGCTGACAAGCGCAACCAAACGCACAGTAGCAAGACAGCGGCGACGGGAGGGGGAAACTGCATTGCTTGCTGCAAGAGCGTTGGTACAGTCAGAGGGGGGTGCAGCATCGCAAAGGGCGACGGAGGGGCAGGCGCTTCCGTGGAGACGAGGTTTGTGTGGTAGGTGCGGAAAACAGAACTGTGGAGGAGAGGGGGGGCGGGGTGGTGGCAGTTGGTCCAGACAGCCAGAGCTGAAGCAGATGGGGAGGGAAGGGTGGCCACGACGCCACAAGGCCCCGACACCCATCCTCGCCCGAGCTCCGGTGCCCTCCTCCTCTGCGCGGGTGCGGTGCTGTCGATGAATGGCGGGGCGGGGCCTGGCACACTTCCACACTTTACCCCACTTGCTCTCTTACTGCTCTGGCTGTCTGTCTGTCTTCAGGTCCTCTTCCCTTCTCGGATGGATTTTGTTACTACATCGCGCCTGATAGCCTCTCTCAATTTTTTTGAGCATGTTCGAAATTGAGAATCGGGTTCTACGCGCCAGTGTTGTGGTGGAATGCGAGGAGAAGTGAGAAATAAGTGTGTTAGCGCAGGTTTCCGCATTAGTCATCCGTCCAGTGCATGGACCCTCATCGGCTGCTTTTCGTAACGAGGTGTGTGAAGTGCTGAGTGAGGGTCTTTGATATGCTTCGATAAAAATAAATTCTTATATAATCAGAATGACTTGGGGTTATTTTTTCACCCGCATGTACGAGTGAAAAAAATAGTTCCTAGGTTGTCAATGAAATGTAGTTTCCGCATTTTCTAATTGTTGTGATATTTGCATTGGGGATGACTTCATCTCGTCTCTTCGTCTAGGCACTGACTACCGCCTTACAGTTTGTAACATGATTCATGGAAGAACTTTCAACAACGGTTGTCAATAAGCAAGAACCTAAATTTGGTGTCAGACCAACTGAGGAACTTTCGAAGGACAAGTGGGAAGAAATCATTTCATTTTATACAAGAATCCAACTTCGGCAGAATCAGAGGAATTTGTGATAAGTGAGCTAAAAGGACATCTTGGCTGGTTGTGTAATGAGAAATAGGGGATCTGGGCCAGTTCTTTTCGAAAACCACACGCTAACCGTCCAACAGCCAGTTTCTGTAACCCTATTTGAAAAAACTCAAAATCTAACTTTCATGACTCAAATACAAGTTGGAAGGTTAGCCAGCAATTTCAAACTGGATTTCCATTGTTATTGCATAATTGTGAACCGTCCCACCAACAATTTCATGCTTAACACTGGCAACCAGATTATTTACCAAACCCATCTTCGCAAACACCTCCACAAGCAAATTACTCACCTATACTCTACTTGTTACATAAGCGCTGACAAGGAGGGATCAAATCCATCCCATCACAAAGGGCACTGCACTACCAACTATACAGCACCTTTCAGGATGTAAAAACAAGCATCAGCGACGAATATCTAGGGAAACTTGAATGAATCATTTCGACATCTTCGTCTGGTCCTCCTTGTAAAAACATTGTCAGCTCCATACTTGAAAACCTCAACTGAGCGACACATGTACCCACGCGTTTTCACGTAAAAGATCGCAGAGGTTCCGGAAGCTCAGCTGTGAAGGTTAAATAAAGGAGCACGTATTTTCTTTGAAAAAATGTAAGAAACACTACTAAGAGTCACTACGAGCGATGGGGTGTCATCACATGGACCAAAACGGAGTCCTACAAGGGCGGAGATTTAGACAGCTATCACGATGTCGTGAACATGGCATTACTCCGACCTCATGCATGACACCTATCTATCCTTCCTAACTTGGCTAAAGATGTCCCTCACAAATACTAAATATCTTTTCAGGGTCAAAAACGTGTACGTTCTGGCCAGGGGCCAGAGAAATCTTTTTCTTTATGCCCCGCTATAATTATCAAACCTAAAATGTGGGAACTCAAAAGATACAATCCAGAATGACTAAACCCTTGCTACTTTGACTGCTAAGGAATAAGTCTGCACCATCAGAGTTTGCCATCTATCACCGCCATTTAGTCTCTATTGCTATCGAAACGGCCTCCGCTAGACTGCCGATCTCCATAGTTTCCACGCCAGCCGCCGCCGCCGCCGCCGCCTCGAGGAGCTCCATCTGACTTGTCAGTGGCATAGTCAACCCGAATTTGACGTCCAGCTAATTCCTGCATCGCTCAACAAACGCAGTTCAGTTATCATAACCACGTAACCAACCGAAAGCCCCCGACCATCCAAGAACAACATCCCTTCATAAAGGACGAACATGGGAAGCGAACATCAACTTCATTGCTTCGGTTGGCTGAGCCAAATGAATTCAGCCATGCGGGGAAAAAAAGATGTAAAACGACAAACTGTTTGAACATCCTAACAAAATCAAAAACACACCCGGCCATCCATCTCCTGAAGTGCAACTTCGGCCTCCTGGGGAGATGTGAAGTTCACGAATCCGAAACCCCTAGACCTCCCAGTATCCCTGTCAAGGATGATCTTCACTGCAAAAGTACCAGAAGAAAAGCCATCATCAGCACGTCACAACATCTAACCTGACCAGGATCATAGGCAACTGGTTCCAACATTAACTGCCAATAATGTACCTAATATCGTAAAATCGATCGCAAATGTTACTAAATGTAAACCACCTAACTTGGAAAAACTATAGCACTCAAACGAAAAAATGGGGAAGACGAACACACCATCAGTCACGGTACCAAAGGAACCAAAAGCGTCCCTCAACGTGTTCTCGTCAGTTGCCCAGGCAAGACCTGCATGAATCAGAATCAAACACATTACCACACGGTTCACCCACACCCTACAGACATAGAGCGACAACTAGAATATCACCGTAAACCCCACATCCCCAACCCAACTCTCACCCAAAGAGCAGTCCAACCAGGAAACACCCGATCAGGCATGTAGACACATAAATCCCCACAACCACACTGAACCGACTCTGTCATGGACTGAGATAGTCCTACTAACTCCACAATCTGCCACGATGCGATTTCAAACAACTGGAACAAAGACAAAATACGAGAGAGACAAGTCCGGACTAACCAACACAAATAAGAGCACACCACTACTAACCCCAAAAACCTACAGCCTCAACCATTTCTGCAACCTAAACCCTAGGGTTTAACCACCAGCTCCAGTACATGATTACAACATCAACTTCAAAGAGCGAAAATCCAATAGCACACCTCCGATAAACAACTTGGAGCTAGACATGAAGCGCTGCGCCATGAGCATCGCGGGTACCGCAGCCGCACCAGCTCCGAGTCCGGACTTCATCATCGCAGCCTGGGCCGAATTGTGGCGCAACAGGCCTCCGAATTTAGCGAAGAAAGCCATGCCAGATCCTGTGCTTGCTCTTCCACTGCGGCTCTGTTGATTGCGAAGGCAAAAGGGGCGACTGAGGGAGCTGGATCAAAACTAACTCTGAGACAGTGTGCGAGGACAGAGAGACTGGCTGAAACGCAGCCTCAAGGTCTACTTCGGTTGGGGCCACAACACTCTGCTCACAAATTAGGTTTCCATCCACTCATTTCTCATCGTGTCTGTTAGTCTCGATTTTTCATTCATTCAGTGATTTCTGTTCTTCGGTTCTCCAACGTCGATGACTCTTTGCATCATCCAACGGTGCCGCGTGTGAAAAGGGTTGGTCATTAAATGATTTTGTTAAATGATATATGAACGTTCATATTTCAATTTACACGGCTTCTCTAAAAGGGATCCAATTTTTATAATTTCATTAATCACTGCATCCTAATGACTTTTAGCAAGTATAGTAGTAACAAATAAAAGAGTGCTTAAAAGAGTGCTCCAAATAATTTTGCATAATTCAAGTATGAAAAAATTTATCAAAGTATTTTTATTTATTTTTTGCAAAAAAATGTAGATTTTTTCTCTAAATTTCCTTGTATTATTTTGCTGCTAATACTGCCAAAAAAAAATCCTTTTCAAGAAAATGAATCCCGGATTATTATTTTTTTAGTATTTTTAACACCTTAAACTATAAATACGATCTTCTACCCACTTATAATAGGACTAGTCTACCAAATCTTAGGTGTGAAGGTCATTTCATGTGGGAGATCATAATATTCAAAGTTGAGAGAAAAGTTTTTTTGGGTGTTGCCCAAAAGGCATAACAAGTCTTGTGTTAGGTGCAATTCCTACTTGTAATTCTAAACTTTTTTTTTTTTTTTTTTTTTTTTCAAAAATATCTTCAATTTGATTCATGTATGTAAAATATTAGAATAAGAAGGTGTATATAGCACCTTCAATGATTTTTTTTTTTTTTTGAGAAGTATGTAGTTAAAAAAACTAGTATCAAAGAAATTATTACAAAAAATTACATTATTTTCAAAAGAAACCTCTATTCAAAAAATGGATGGTGGATAGAAGAACTTTTATATATATATATATATATAGATATATATATATATATAGATATATATATTTAAAAAAATTAAATTAATATAGATTAGCTATAAAAATGCATTAGGCAGCTTTATATAGGACCAATGTTGGACTAGTTGTTCTATAATATTGTTGTCATGCAACCCTCAAAACTGCCTACAATTATAGCTGTCATGTGATTTGCACAAGCCCCTACCCAAGCTACTCTAGTTGGGGTCTAAATCTAAAAAATGCCATAATTAATTCTTAAAAGAAAACAAAAAATCAAAACAATTAGTGAGTCATAAACTTCATATTATTTTTTTATTAAAAAAATAAAATAAAAATACTTTGATAAAACTACCAAAGTTTGATACTTTATGTAGAATGCCTGTAACAAACGTCTTTTCTTGAATGTAGTCAAATTTTAAAATAATAAAATTATTGTGAGAAAGTAAATTTGAATTAATAAATTGTATGCATCAAGTTCCAAAAAAATATATAAAATAAAACAAGAGTAAATTTTTATGTATTATTTTAAATTCTTTAAAAACTTTAGTTTTTTTTGTTAATAATTATAAAAAAAACAAGATTAAAAAAAAAGAAAAAAAAAGAAAAACCTTAAATTGAAAGTACTTTTTCAACAAAATCATATTTTATTAAATGGCTTGTGTAACAAGAATCTAAAGCTCAAAGAAAAATTTATTTGCTTTGCAAATTATACAAAAAATAACAAAGCTTAAATATTACATCTTTATTGTTGAGTATTGACTATATTTAAATATGCAAGTGATCTTGTATCTAAGTAGTATAATTTGTTGAATATATTTTGTTTTAGAATAGAAAATCTATGTTAGTTCTTTTTGTAACATGCATATTAATAAATGTTAATCATTTATTTTTTCCAATTAATACAAATATGATTGGCTAATTATTAAAATTATTTTATAAAATTTATTTATATTTTCAAGGTTTGCTAATTTATTTGTTTGTTCTTTGTTTTGTTTTGTTTTGTTTTGTTTTGTTTTTTTTTTCATTAAAATTTAGTTACAAAATTATTTCATCCAAGTGTCTCAAATTATTTCTACTAAAGACTTATTAAGTAGAAATTTTGTTCTTCAGTATTTTTGACGAATTTCAATTAACATCATGTAATTGTGAATTTCTCTTCTTATAATATTATAGTTTAATATCATGAAACTAAAATATTTTTTCATAGTTTCTTTTTTTAAATCCAAAAGTGATTTAAAAATTGGCTATTTACACCAATTAGTATAATTCTTATACCATTAAGAGTCAATTTTCTTGTAAACCATAATATAAAATTTTAAAATGTTATTTCATCTATTCAAACATAGAATAATTAATCAAAACATTGATTTTTCTATCAAATGTATCAATTGAATTTTGAAGTTTGATTTATAGGACTATGCAAGAATATGTCATTGGTTTATATAATAGGTAATGACATGTGAATTCTTTCAAATTGGATAGGTAATAAGAAAATTTCAATCAAATATACTTAATGCCATTACTCTAATTCTATCTAGATATTTAAAAAGACGTGTATAATATTTAAACAACCATGATACTAATATTTACTTGTATTATAACCTCATTTTTTACTACATACAACATAGGAGATGTCAAATTAATTTCATTCTTTTGCATTCAAAATAAAACTAATTTACATAATGTTTAAAATAAAAAATAAAATAAAACAAAAAAACATTAAATAATTTAAGCATCATTTATGCATAAGAATTTATCTATATCTACTAAGATTTTAAAAAATAGAGGAATTTTAATATAAATAAATAAATAAATAGATAATATATTTTACTCAAGTACTAATTATGTAATCATGCAATTGATTTTTAAGAGTATAAAAAAAAACTTTGATTAGAATTAATGCACAACATATTATACAATAATATTTGTGGTGTTATAGAAGTATAAGTATAAAAATATTGCAATTTTTCTTTTGTTTTTTTAATTTAATATTTAACATATCATGTAGGAACTTATATTTGTACATTGATACATATGTTATATTTACAAATCACAAATATTATTTCAGATATGAAATTCAAAATATGATATAACAATATCATTTTTAATTTCCTATTATAGTTAAAAGACACGTTTTTCATTAATAGTATGAAAAACCACAACTTACACCAAATTTTAAATTTACACAATTACCAATTTAATATGTAATTCTAAAAACTTTTTAAATATTTAAGCCTCTAAATTTCTTCTAATTGAAGATAAATTAAAGAAGATTTTATGAATATTATTTTTATTTAGATCTAATTTGGTTTAAAAATTGTGGATTTTTTAATTAAAATTTTAATAAATAATTCAATTTTTTTAATTTAATTGTTTTTAATATTGATACAAATAGTTCTAAGATTATAAGACCATGCATATTTAATTAATCAAATAAAGATGATAACTTAGTTTTTTTGACATAAAAATAAATCAAAACATAGAATCGTAAAGAAGATTAAAAGCTTTTTTTTATTTTTTTATGTATATACCAAAATAATACATTTACCTTTGATTTATAATAAGTAGATGATGTCAAAAATTCAAATGCATGTTCAATTTTTAAATTTTTATACCAAATATTAAAATGATGTAAAATCAATAATGATCCAAAGATGGCTTTCTTTAAATTAATAAAGAATATATGACATGATATATAATGGTTAGAACAAAAGTGATTGGTTTAAGATTTTAAAAAGTTGATTTGATATTTTCTTGTTGAATCCAACGATCCAATGAATTTAGATCAATTACAATTAATATGATTAAAATCACTCATCAAGAAGAAGAAGAACAACAACAAAACAAAAAATAATTAATAAAATAAATTCCTTAAAAATTAAATTATATGGAATTATAAAAAGAATATTTTTATTTTTTAAATATATTTTTAATTCTATCAAAATATATATGATATAATTTTTTTATAAAAATTAACTTTAAAATATTTAAAATATATTGTTATATTTCTTAAAAATTATAGTATTACTTACATGTGTATGTAAAAGATACTTATTTAGAAGAAGTAGAATGAATAGCAAAAAATATATATACATATATATATATATATATATATATATATATATAAGACTCAAAAATATAAAATAAAAATAATTTATTAAAGTTTTAATATTGAAGATATTAAAAAATATAAACACATACAAAAGATAATATTAATGTTATTACCATTATTACATATTAGTAATCAGCTATCACTAACATCAATATCCACATTGATAATTAGGAGTATAAATAGAATTACATAGGAACATATAAAAATATATTAATTTGATAATATCTTAGTAATAAGTTTGTAAGAAGCTTCATAGATAACAAAGATTTAATCATGTAAGTATTTATAAGTGATTGATAGGTTAAAAATTTAGCTAATAAGTTAACTACATATCATATAAGTTAACCTTTTGTTTTACAAATTGGCCTCATGGCAAATATATTGGAAACTAGTCTTTTAAATAATTTATGGATCTCATAAATTAGATACATATTGAATGGCCTACAAAACATTGTCACATAGTTCTTTAGTTAGATAGTCTATATAGAGGCAACAATGAGGCTTTTCTTCTTCTTTTCAATATTACTCTTACATCTAGTCTAGTTTTTCAAAGTTATCCAACTCTTGGATTATAAGTTAGATTTGTTGTGACATATCTCTTAAGTTTATTTTTTATTATGGTTTTTTTATCTTTACTTAAACAAAGAAATTTACAATTTACATTAAGAATTTTTATAGTATCATTATATGATTTATAATTTCAATCACTTGCAATTAATATAAAATAGAATGATGTTTTAATAATCAACCAATTCTTCTATGGATTGTAATATGAGCTAAAAAATTTGATTCTATATTTTTCTAATCTTTAAAAGTTAAATCAAACAATTGAATTTATTATAAAATGTGACAATTGGCTTTTATAAATTTCAGTTACGAAGCCATGTGAGTATGTCCTAACATCTTCATAATTTTATATGATACCAACATCTTCTTGATAAATACATTTAGAAATTGAAGACAT